CAGAGCAGGAAGCCCCTCCTCACATGGACCTCCTTCCTCCACCCTTGGAGCGTGTGTGAGGCAGGCAAGCAGCTCTGTAGGAGGAACCAGGAATGAGCCCAGACACTGCCTAGAAAACAGCTACAGTGGCCGCACGGAGTTCCTATCCCCACAGATATCATCTTCCCCTTGCCCATCTAGAAGACCCTTCTAAACTCTGAGGATGTTAAAGTACTTACTGATCCCACAAAGAGTGTCTGGACCCTGAGCTGTGCCGGTTGAGGGGTATCCAGCAGTGAATAAAACAGGTCCTCACATAGGTAGAGAAAAAGGCAGGTACATAAATGAATAAATGCCTATAACGTTAGGTGGTTGTAAGTGCCCTAACAAGAGCCAAACCACAGAAAGGGAGGGACAGCCATGGTGGTTTTGAGAAGGGGTCATCAGGGAAGACTTCCCGAAGAGGTAAAATTGTAACCGATGCGCTGAAAGACCTTAATGAATCGAGAGCCAGCCATGCAAGGAGAAGGTTCCAGGCAGAGGGAGGAGCAAGCAACGTTCTGAGCCTGGTTTGAAGACCAGAGGGAGGTGGTGTTGTTGGAAAGTGATCTGGAGGAGGCGAGGCAGAGGAGATGAAGTTAGACAGGTGACAAGAGGTCAAATCATGAGGCTCTTGAAGGTCATGAGGAACATGTTGGTTTTTCCTCTTGCATGAGGTGGCAGCTTTGGAGGGTTGGGAGCAGAGGAAGGACATGGCCCAACCCCGGTCCTGAGCACCACCCTGGCTGCTGTATGCATGTCAGCCCATGGGACATAGCAGGTACTCACTAAATGTCAGTGGTTGGATTCACTGCTTTCAGCCTCACCATTGGACTCTTGAAGCCACAGAGGGCACAGATCAGAATAATCCTCTTGTGCCCCCCAGTGCCCCGTATGGAGGGGTACTCAGACACGTGAATGAGTGAGCAAGCAGGAGTAGGTTAAGACAAGACTCATGCCCCAGATGGGTGGCTGGGACACATGGTAGCCACAGCCCTTTGCTGAGGTCAGCCACAGGGTGAAAGAAGGGTGCCACCGGCCGTGCAGCAGGAAGATCAGGTAAATGCCTGCTTTGGTAAGCACCATCATCTAGGGCCTAAGAATGTGCAGGATGCAACTGGGCCCAAACTTAGGTTGCAGGAGCCAAAGTTGCACCTGTCAACCACCAGTGCAGGGCAGGCAGACGACATGGGGCACCAATTTCTAGGATCACCACGATGTTTAGAGGCTCACTCTAATTCCCCTGGGAGCATCACAGACAGGTGTTTGGCACAAAAAAAGAAACCCAGAGAATGTAACCCAGCCAGGCACTGGTATCCAAAATTTGGGTTCTAGGCTGTACTTGGAAGGTGGCAGATTATTGTGGTCAAAGACGATCATGGAGGGCTTCCTGGAAGAGCTGCAGCCTGAAGTTAAACCGAAGACACTAGAGAGCTGGAGTTGCAGACACTCCCCTCTCCTTGTGTCCAGCTGCCCTGTGAACTCTCTTACCTCCGAACCACAACTAATATTCCTCCTCACTATCCATGGGCTAATTAATGCTAATGAATTCAAAGTTCCTATTTCCAGAAAATGGCCTTAACTTACCCCCCCCTCCCCACCCCAGCCTTGTCTCTTCCAAGCAGCCACATCCAGGGCACACACTATGCCCTGAACACATCACGCATCTTATACCCCAGTGCCTTTGGTCAGGTCATGCCATTTGCTCTCTCAGGAATTCCCTCTCCAGCCCCACTTTACCTGAACTATTGCCTTTTCCTCATACCCCAGCTCCTGTGTCCCAACTTCAGGGAAGTCTCCACCCTCCGATCTATCACACACACTTGGGGTGAGCTGCATGCCAAGCTCGACTTGGTTGGGTTTAGTCTCTTTGGGGTGATCATTCTGTACCGGTTAGGCTACAGACTAATAGCGTAATTGTTAGTCGTGCCTCTTTCGCCCCCAGATGTGTTCCAACTCAACAACAAATTACATGGTTACCCTGCACTGCCCTCGCCCTTCTCTGCCCAGCTGAAATCCTTTGGGCAGGAACTATGCCTCATTCTTTGCTCTGTCAGGGCCCAGGGTAATACCCTGACACATCTGGATACAGTCATTCACTCACACAAGTGATTTCTGAGGTGTGATGGGGGCAGAGCAGCAGATGGAAAGGCCCCTGTTCTCCTGACCCATCAGAGGTGGAAGGAAGAAGAGAGGAAAACAAGACCATTCCAGGGAGTGACGACGATAGGGAGAAGGCCACGAAGAGGAGGAGAGAAGATATAGAAGGGGGTAGATGACTTTAGACAGGCAGGGTGGGGAAGGCCTCTGGAGAAGTGGCATTTGAATGAGGCCTGAAAGAACTGAGGGAGCTAGAGATGAGAATATCTGCAGGTAGAGAATTCCAGAGAGAGAAAGGCAAGTTCAAAAACCCTGAGGCCAGGACGTGTTCAGTGTGTTTAAGGAACAGCAGAGAGGCGGGTGCAGGGTGAGTGAAGAGGAGATCAACGGGAGATGTCAGCAGGGGCCAGACAATGCTGGGCTTTGTCAGCCATGGCAAGGAATCAGGACTTTTTTTTTTTTTCCTGCCAATGGAGGGTTCTGGATCGGGGAATATCATGATCCAAATCATTTTTTCCCCAGACTGAGAGGTCTTTATTTTTCAATCACGCAGATAGAAGACAGAAGTGCCAGGACTCCTCTTCTGATTGGATAAAGCCACCCCATGAACATTTCTCTGTTTAGAGGCAGACACGTCAGTTACAGCGATGTCAGTTACAACATGGTCACCAGGGACCTCATCATCAAGACCTTACCGGTATCTTTCTGGAGGTTACCCTCAGAACATGGTAACAGCTTCTAGTCGTAAGTCCTACAAAACCCTTATTCATACTACTTCTAAGTACAGGGCTATGTTAACAGGCCACAACAACTTGATAACAACCACGAATAGCCATCTGAGTTTCCAAATGGTGTGGTGTAGAAACATTACATGCACATTCTTGTAAATGCTCTCAGCTAAAAGCAACAAGCAGGCCTGGACAGCTCAATTTCTCCACTGAATGGAAAAGGGGAAGGAGATGCCTAGGGTCTTACTTAAAAGCAGTGAAATGAAAAACACACAGCATTAACTTTATACATGCACAGGTCATACCTGGGCCAAGAGAACCTCTAAAGTTGCAGTGTTCAGTTAGTAATTCTTCTAATTCAAAAAACATCTTGGTGAATCAGACAAGTTCAGAAGAATCAGGGGGCTCTCCTCCCTACACCCTGTGGGCTCTCAGCCACCCTGCCTTTCCAGCGGGCTCTGGCTTCGATTGCATTCCCCTGCCTAAAGCATCCACCACTGTGTTTTGTGTCAAGCCCTTCCCTCCCCATACCCAGGTCCTGGAGAGCAGAGGATAAGGCCTTCCAAGGGAAGGGGGACTCCAGGAGGCAGCTAAGCTCTTCTACCTATACAATCCCACCATGGGCGGTTAGACCCAGTGGAAGGAGAAGAAAGGAGACCGGGGCTAGAGTTGGTCTAAAAGAACCCAGCACCAAACAAAATGATGAAACAGCCCCGCCCCTGGGGACCCTTGCTGAAGGGGGTAAAGAGGCTGCAAAGATCCAGCCCAGGGGTCTACAGCACAGCCCTCCCTCTCTGGAGCCAAAGAGGGGCAAATTCAATAAGAAAGACAGTCTCCTTAGCTGTTCTTAAGAAGCTTGCTCCTTCAGTTGTTTGTTTTTGAGCTGTCATTTTAAAGAAAATGAGAAGAAATATGTGAGATCCGAGCAGGTATGGACAGGTCCCATGACTAGAAACAGCCCTGCTGTACTGCAACCTGGCAGCCTAAAGATGGGCAGAGACTGGAGATGGGGGCAGGGGCCCAGGGGATTCTGTGTGGGCCCAGTGACTGGGGAAGGTAGGCTTCTGGGAAAGAACCCCCATCATTGCCCCTGCCTTGAGCACATGCCCGGATATGCCAGTGTGGCAGAGTTCCTAGGGGGCTGGGGGTTTTCTTGCGCATTGGCAGGCGGTTGTTGAGGTCCTTACAGACCTGGGAGCAGGCAGCACCGGTGGGAGCCTGGGTGGAACTCAGAAGGGATGATGGCCAAACACTGGCAGGATATCACAGATCTTGATAAGCGGATAGCAGGCCGTGGGGTAGTACCAATGCAGGGGTAAGAAAAGCAGTGTGATCACAAAGAATGCCTTGCCCACTGCTTCACAGCCTTGACCCCATCATGTGGTCCTGCAGTCCTGAGGCGCTGAGGCGCTGAGGCTATGGAATGTCCAAGACTGGCTGACAGGCAGCACCAAATGCATCCCCTTCTTGGATGATGAGACTCAGCTTGCCACAGCCAATATTCTGGATGCATAAATACGAAGCCCAATGTGTTGTGGCCTTGAAGTAGTGGGCCTCCAAGAGGCCCTGGTCCTCCTAGCGCTGACTTGTGGGTGCCCTTGTCAAAAGTGGGTGGGAAGGGGGCGCCTGGCTGGCTCAGTCAGTAGAGCATGAGACTCTCGATCTCAGAATCACTGAGTTCAAGCCCCACATTGGACATAGAGGTTGCTTTTAAAAAAAAGAAAAAAGGTGTGGAGTGGGAAGGCCATCATCAGAAGCAGGCTGGGGCCACAAAGATAATGGGAGTACACATCCATAGCACTGGGTGCCTGGGTAGAACTGTGGCATGTGACAGCTATGTGATGCCCAAAGGCCGCATGGAAACAAAAGAGCTTGGCCATGGAGGCCACAATCTTGGAGCAGAGTCCACTGAATGTTCGGAGGGGCCAGGGTGCATGAAAGAGAAAGCAGACAGCAGAGCTATGTCATCGGCTTGAGCACAGGTCCACAAGAAGCAGAAGGCAGTCTTATGTAGGTGCCAGGTCCTAGCGCAGGGCTTAGCCAGACTGGTACCTGCAGGACATAGGAGGGGCCTCTGTGCGCCACCTTGCTAGACCTCTGCTGGCTCCGCGGG